TTAGCTCGAGGGGAGTCGGCCAAGTAAACACTCTGGATCGGTGTGTCGTTAGCTGGCATGAATCAACTCTTAGACTTGGCGTTGACGTGAGACTCCGATGACAGCGACCGACAGACTCTTAATTAAATCCACGTTGTTGGTCTGGACTCTGGCGCTCACTGCCGGTCACCAGATCCAACTTGGCGAAACAGACGGTGTTTACTGTCAGCGCTGAAAGCTTCCTAAACTGCCACTGGGTGAACATCTGCACACACCTGCTGCTGCTGGATGCATAACGGGCCGAAAACCACTGGCCCAGGAAACCGGGAATGTCCAAGCAGGAGTAAAATATTCACTGTGGCGACATTTTAACCCTGATGAAGTTACAGGAGAATGCTGGACTGAAAGACGTGAAGCAAAGATACTGCGTGAAGGCAAAATGTGAACACACAGACATGAAACACACTGATATCGTAATAATTATAATAATGTAATACTTGTATCAATCTGAGCCCGTCTGTGACAAAAATAACTTCTAATGGACGGACTTTGACGGTGCATTTGTTCGTAACACTCAATGTTAACTTGCGTTTCTGCTCACAAATAATTTCACATCTACGTCGGTGATTTAAGAATTTATTTTGACCAAACCAACATTGGTGATTGTTGGAAAGACTTTTGGTGAGTTGTATTGTTCTGATGTTTACAGCGCCCAGTTGCCCCGAAGGATTTTACAGTCCACAGTCTGCAGTTTTGTGTTTTTTGTGTTGGGGAAAATAGGGTCCAGGTTGAAAAATACATGTTTTCCTTTAATACCTGAAACAAAATTAGAGACAATCCCTGAAAAATATTTATATATTCTGGCTGCCGGCTTCACTCACAAAAATGTTGCACTCGTCTGCAATCTAATATTGTTATTATTGTTTGTTTGTGTTTATGTTATATTGTGTTTGTCTAATGAAAAAAGGTCCAAATCCAATATTAGGGAATATTTGCTATTCCTTACATGTTCCTGCATTGTGCATCCTAAAAACAGTAATATAGTAAAATAGAACATCTCTTTTTTTCCTCCAAATATTCCTCTAAAATTATCTCACTTAACACTTGTGTGTGCAACCTTTTAGCGTATGCACAATCACAGATGCATGCAGAACAAACAGACTCACACAGCAGCGAGTGCTCTGTGGGAAAGTTTACAGGCTGCAGGGTCGGAGGAGGAGGAAGCAGCTGGAGAGTGTGATGTGATGCAAGGCGGAGGAAATCCAGGGAATTAGAGCGGATATGTGAATGCTGAGGAGCTCACAGCGCTGGAATAAAGACCAGAGTCTGCAGATGTCCGAGTCCACTGGGAGACCCCCGGTCCTCCTCGTAAAGAATGAGTCGTCTGCTCCCGGCGGACGAGGCGCTCCAGGATGAAAATATCTCAAGTTCAGCACATTTTAGGCAGGTTTTAAGAATAACAATGATCAGTGCGAAAGGATTCTGTGTGGAGCTGAACTAAAGTGGACACTGGGGAGAAACCACATGTGCAGGCCTCTGAGCTGAAGCTATAAAAGCTATAAATCAAAAGGTGTCTGTTGATGCCACTGTGTGTTTCTAAGGGCGGGGCTGGAACCACAGATGAATCCATGTGAACCATGTGATCTGCGTACATTTGATCTGCGTACATAGTTAAACCAGAATCCTGAGTGTTCAGAAACTTCCAGGAAAGTTTCACATTCTGGGAAACATTTCTGAGAGTAAGATGTTTAAATGGATATTAATATCTCATTAAGCTGGAGTCTGGATATGATTAGCTTAGCTTAGCATAA